GTCGCACTGGCACTGGTGGCGATCCCACGAGTTGTAGTACGGGTTGTGCTTGAGTACAAGGACCCACGGCGTCTTCTTTCGGTCCACGGACGCCAAGTCCTTCTCGAGCCACTGCAGCTGCAAGTTGCGCTCGTCCATCCACGGCTTGGTGCCGACAACATCGTCGTCGTCGCCGCGGTACCCGACATAATCGTCCACAAAGACCGCGTGGACATGTCCGACATTCATCGAGTAGTACGTGCGCAGCTTGGCATTCTGCGCCGCCGAGACCGGGTTGTTGACGTGGTGGATGTACCCGAGGTAGTTCTCCGGCAGAAATTTCTTCTTGTCCTTGGGCTTTTTGGCGCCGCCACCCTTGGTCGTCTCGTGGTTGCCGCCGATCGCAAGCGTCGGAATCGAAGCAAACACGGGTTGCGCTTGGCGGTACCACGCGTCCCACTGCTCGTGCTCGCCGTTGGCATAGGCCAAGTCGCCGACGATAAAGATCGCGTGGGCCGCTGTGCCGTTGATCCCGGTTGCCGTGTTGCGCAAGGTGTCGTCAATGTACTCGGAGCCGACGTCGCCAATGATACCGAGGACCGTCGGTGTGTCCGCGTCGGCGCTTGGCGGCATCACAAACGACTGGACAAAGCTGCCCGCGCACGTCTTGCCGTTGCCACCAATCGCATACGCATACGTGGCACTGGCCTTGAGGTTGCAGAGCCGCGCCGTGTGCAGAAACGGCGACGTGTAGCTGTACAGCTTGGAGTCGAACTTGAACGAGTCGACGGTCGTCGGCACCGACTTTGGCGAATCGCCCGGCGTCGCAAACGAGACCGAGAGCGGGCTGCCGACGTCGCTGGCAAAGGCGACCGCGACGCCGTTGGGGCAGTCGACGTTGGCGTTGGTAAGACCAAGGTGCACTTGGTCGATGGTCGCCGTGACGAGCACCGCTGAGGCGAGGAGAGAGGCGAGTGTTGGGAACATGGCGAATTGAGTTGTGGGAACTGAGGCGATGGCCAATACCAACCGCGAGTCGTCGAACGGACCGAATCTGGTTGGAGCGTTCAAGATGGTCAGGGTACTCTTTGTAGCTGGGTGCATCGTGCGATGGCAAGCGAGCTGTCGTAAACCAAAGGTAGCGTGCATCACGATAGCCTTTCTGTCTTCAAAAAGGCGGTGCCCCTGCTGCGACCCCGTCTTTCGTGCAAGATAGCACGCATAGTGCTAACACGATAACATAATCGCCACGACTAGAAGCGGTCTCGACAGTTCTCTCTTGGTATCTCGTGCATGGCAGTCCGTGTCGACACCGGCGCCACAAGTGACGATGGGACGCCCAACACGTGGTCTGAAAACGTACGGCTGACAGCGGCTGTGGTAACCAAAAAGCGTCCTGTCGCATGAAAACACGCCGCTTTGAATCTATTGGTGGTGCCGCATACAGCGCACGAGTCGATCGAATCTTTGGTTGAGGGGTAGGTCACAATCATGGGTGCTACCACACTACATGAACGATCTTGGCGGATCAGAGTGGACTGGCGTGGACTCTCAACAGGACGAAAGTACAGTAGCCCTTGCTTGCCGGGTCGGGGCGAATCGTGTCGGCTACTACTGCGTTTTGCCGACGACGATGTACTACTGCACTGTATTGAAGCACGACATTGGAAACGCCGCGACACCCTAAGCCACAAGCAACTGGGCCAGTTGTTTTCGCGGCATGATATTGGATACGAAGACAAGTAGATATATATATAGATATATAGTTAGATAGATAGATAGATAGATAGATAGATAGATAGATAGATAGGATCCTGAATCCACTGTAGATAGACGTTGTGCGCATCGTGTGGCAGGCAGCCACGGCAGATTGCGTCGTCGTTCGTTTTCTAGCAAATAGACATCAAGCGCTGCTGTGGTGAAATCTAAGAGTACGACATTAAAGACCCTAATGCGTCACGGGCCTCACCCGCAGCCACAAGCGTCGTCGGGCGACGACAGAAGAGCCAGACGAGCCCCCGCGCCGCCGCCTGCGCAGCCACGGACCGGCGAGCGAATGAAGAAGGAGATTGCTAGTCTCTACGTATGCGAAGTCTTTGTGTAACTATGAAGATAACGCGAAACACGTTCATATATTTATATATATAATGCGAAGACTTCCATTTATGGATACACGCCACGAGAGCCTGTAAATTTGCTTTTGAGGGGCTATCGATCACCAAAAACCACAATACATCGAGGTTCAAAAGGAAAAGTTTCAACGTGTAGAAGGAAAAGTTTAACGTGTAGCAGGAAATTGAGGTTTGAATAGTCTAGTCATCAAGATCACAGACGCCGACGACCGGCGGCAGCCCAATCGTCGTCATGAGGTCGCTTGGCGTCGAGCTCACAATGCCGTCCTTCGTCATCACAAACGCGTC